TTCCTCTCCTGAGATGATATACATGAACACATGTCTAGTCACGTGTGCCAGAGTTTTAGGAAGTAAATGGGGAGCAAGTAATCTCTTAGTTAACATGGTCAATGTCAGTAGACTGGGAAAGAAAATAGAAATAAGGTATGCAAAGAATACAAAGCCGGCAATTTTTTTTATAAGTATGTGTTTGTAGATTGTCATTATTTCTAAAGGTGTGTTTGTTGTTATTTTAAAGATATGGGTAAAGGTCGACTTTAAATCTGTGTCTGTATTGCTTGTTCAGACCTTAATACCATAAGTAATAACAGGTTTATATATGTTTACTCCAATGATGGACTACAATCTTGTGTTTAGTTTACTAATTTGTACTGAGATTGTAGTCCATCACGGGAGTGAGCTTGGAGCGGTGGCTACTTTACAACACACACACAGGGACCATGGGGAACAAAAGTAGGCACCCTCCAGAAGGAAGGACAGTGTCAGCACCAATTCAGAGATGATTTGAGGATCTACAGCCGAGTGATACTCAAATAAGATTCCTTTTTTATTAATAGGGTACTTAAATGTGTTTTTAAGGTTGTACCCCTGAATTTAGTGTCACTATCATTGGAGCTGATCAGCATGGTCTTGGCTTCCTATCTGTGTGGCCAGACTGGGCAGTGATTATGTTACTTATGACGATCTCACAATCAGTTCATTGTTTTTGGAATATTTTCTGGCACAACCCCTTTAATGTACCACATTAAAAGTTTATATTTCCTGTTATTTCCAGGGTTTTCAGGAGGAAGCTTTAAGAGATTGTGAAGATGCGTTGTATATAAATGACACAAATCTCAGAACACTGTACTGCAAGTCTAAAGCCCTGTTTATACTGGAGAAATACAAAGAAGCGTATGAGGCTGTAGCCAAGTGCTCCCTTATTGCGCCAAAGGTAAGATGAGCCCAGGGCATGTCTGCTCATTTATTTTCTTTACACCTGTGTAACAGTCTGTGACAGTCTGAAATAATTGATGCTGTAGCAGCGAGCTGGGTGAAGTTAACCATATAAGTTCTGTTTCAGGTTGCCAAATTTATTGCTGATAATTGTATCGGCAATCTTTTATCAAACAAGTACAGGTATAGGAGCAAGTCCAACAGAGTGATCAGCGGAATGGCTGTTCTACTTACTGTCACGGTGCACCTATCTCATCGGGGCACACTTGTCAAAATGAATCACTGATGTGGCAGTGTTGCTTGGCAGAAACCTTTTTCTTTGTGAATAAAAGTCGGCAGAAAGCCTCTTTGGCGAGTGGACTAGAGGCCTAGAAGTTTTCTGTTTTATGCCAAGCCTTTACAATACCTATGTGTGTACTGTTTTACATCCTAAAGAATTTGTACTTCTTTGCATCTAGTCCTAGTCTGTGCTACACAATACAGCCAGAAGGATGACCTTTCTCTGTGATAATTAAAGTGCATGTGCAGCCATTACTCTAACGTGCCCCCAATCCTCTATCTCCCCCTCTTTTTTTCATCTTTTTCAAATTCTTGCAGGCGTTGCTTTTGATGTAAGCCCCCTATGTGCTACTGCTCCCAAGAGGACTTTCTCTCTACACACAGCGTGTAGACAGGGTCTTGTAAGTCAAGACAGTAGCATTGTTTTACTGGAAAGGCAATCAATGTATACATAAAAAGCAGGATACAGAAGGGTCAGGGATACAGTTTTGCAGTCCATCAGACAGGACTGACGACAACACTGGTTGGGATTTTATTGTCAGCCAAAGAAGA